ACATTATTTAACATCTATTTTGACCACGTAGTTCGTGAAGCCTTCAATAGCTGTACCGGGGGAATTTCCATTTGGTACAGATACAATGGGAGGCTGATCGATGCCCGGGTGTGGTCAAGGCATGGCTCCCTATTGGTCAACCACGTTACGTATGCCGATGATTTGGTAATTGTGGCTCATTCAGAGGAGGAGTTGGAGACGCTTCTGCTGAAACTGGAGCGTGCCACTAAGAGGTGGGGCCTTACCATCAGCCCCACCAAAACTAAGCACCTGCCTGGGTATTTTGTACCATCGGACACTCCACCCCCACAACTCCCAATCGGTGATGGGGCAGTTGTGGAGAGAGTGGAGAGTTTCCCATACCTCGGCAGTGTGCTTATGACTGGCTCCAGTTTAACAGCAGAGGTCTCACTCCGAATCAGTCGAGCGGCAATATATTTTCATCGGTTGCATAACACTGTGTGGAAGCTACCTGGTCTGTCGCTCCGCACGAAGCTTTAGGACTTCTCGGCCACGGTCTTTCCCTCCCTTCTCTATGCTTGCGAAACGTGGACCCCCCTAATGGAGCATCTTCGCCGGTGGGAAACATTTAGGCTGGCCTGCCTACGATCTATCCTGGGGTTAACCAGGCTGAATTGTGTGAGGAGCTCACATATCCTTGAAAGATCTGGGCACAGTCCCATCGGTGAGCTCCTCCGGCAGGCAAGGCTGCGTTGGCTGGGTCATGTAGCCCGCATGCCCAGCCACCGCATGCCTAAACAGCTTTTGTTCGGCCGGATCGAAGGGGGCTAAACGGGCGCGGCACGGCTAGAGAAGAGATGGAGTGATGTGGTACAGGAGGAAGTGGAGCTGAGTGGACTTGCCGATGACTGGTACCAGCGGTGTCAAGATCGGCCTCAGTGGAGGAGGCTCGTGAAGGACGCTACTGGGCAGTGGGAGGCAGTCGCCCTCCAACAACAACGGAGGGCGGAGGAGCGACGCTCACAACAACGAGCGGAGCGCCGGGTGGCTAAAGCACAGCAAGTTGGCACAGTAGGGGGCACAGTTGGTGCATCAGCCAGTCATCTCAGTCATCTCCGTCAGTCGAGCTGTGGCACCTGCTGGGTCTGCCCCGTGACCTCCTGCCAGCGGGCGTTCGACACTTCACATGGTCTCAAGGTGCACATGGCCTGGCACAAGCGTCGTGGTGACGTCACCGCCACTTAGTGGCGAATGGCGGTTGTTGTTGTGTGTGTGAATGTCCGGGTGTGTGTGTTTGTAATGTGCTGGTGGTGTGTTTGTCATGTACTGGTGTGCGTGTGTGAATGTACGGGTGTGCGTGTGTGTGTGTGAATGGACCGATGTGTGTGTGAATGTAAGGGTGTGTGTGAATATACGGGTGTGTGTGTGTGTGTGAATTCAAGCGTGTGTGTGTGTAATGTACTAGTGTGTGTGAATGTACGGATGTCTGTAAATGTTGGGGTGTGCGTGTGTCAATGTCGGGGAGCGTGTGAATGCGTCGTTGCGACCCGCTGGCGCCCTCTCGTGTTGGAGGCGCACATTACCCAATAGCGAACCACGAATGGCGATACACCCTGCGTGTGTCACACTGTGAACCTCCTGGTGCGATGTGCAAAACATCGCCACTCGGGAGACAAAGGCGGCCGGGCGTGCCGTGCCGGCCTTAATAGGTGCTGCTCGCTAACAGAACTTGCCCCAACAGTAGGTTGAGGCTTTACGGGGTATCTTTGTCTTTGTGTGCGTGACGGTGCGAGTTATGAATTTGGATAACTGACTAATCGCATTCGTAATGAGCTCTTTCGTTCTTTCATTTTGTTGACGCAAAAGCACAGCCAACAACATCAACAACCCTCATCGCACGCTGCGTATCAACAACAACAAGGCCACCAAGACCGCGCGTGTGGCCTTGACATGAATAAATAATGGTCAACCTGTCAGGCAATGGGCCTGCTTCATGGCACATTGTGTTCGCGCTGATGTTTGGTGCAAGCTGGAATTATCTTGCGGAGATGTTAACTACCTCGCCTGGTATACAGGAGGTCGTGTGTTCGATCCCGACCCTGACGCCTGCTGCTGCTGCTGTATATTTGGAGTTTGCGGTGTCTCGCTCTCGCTCCCTGTGGTCGCCAGGATTTTTCTCCGGCTCCTCGGGGGTTTACCTCCTCCACATTTATAATCAACATCACGCGTTCAGAGTATTTGGCTGCTATAAATATCCACGTGGTAAGCCACTTCGTTGAGCTCTCATTTATGATGGCCAGGTCGCTTATGTAAACGAGCTTCACAGCTCAGTGGTAGCCTGACCTGGCAAAATAAAAATAATTTGGTTCATTTGGGGCTCAAATGAAAATCATGACTCATGTACCCAGAAAGCCACCACGAGTCAGTCCCAGTAGTCTTGTACAGGCGGGTCTTGCCAAATTGGGTCTTTACTTGGTAACTAGTTCATAAAGGCCTGTCTTCGCTAGGGAAAAAAGTCTTCAATAAATGTAATAATTAACTTGATTTATAAAAAATTACAATTACTCCAAAAATGTGGTATTTTTCTGCAAAAAGCCCCCACAGAAATTGTCGACGACTTTGATTGAACTTCTATTTATGGACGTACACCCATCGGAAACCGCTTGCTTTTTAAAGATGCAGGTTCTTATTAGAAAGAACAAAAACACATCATTGTCTACGTGGGGAATATATGCGAGCTCTTACCGCTTTCGAATGATTAAAATGTGAACATCAAAAATGCGGATTTTCTTTCGTTCAAAACCGCTTGAATCCGAAATATCCCAAAAAATTTAAATATAGAATTGTTCTCGATTAAATTTTATTTGAGAATAGGTTTACCCCTTTTTTCTGGCAACAAAACAGCTGTGTTAAGATGTTAAAACACCAAACTGAAACCTTTTACAAGGAATCATGTCAGCATTGACCACAATACTTGTGGTCAGAACGCAAACAAAAAACATACTCTGATAATATGCATCGCCTTTGAAACTGATTGGTCCACACCAGAGACAGCTTTCTTTCGAGCCTCATCTGAAAACGTCTTCCAGAGGACGCCAAAAGGCGCCTTTTGGCGTCCTCTGGTCTAAGACCGTTTAACTCTCTATAAAACGAAAAAAACCGGCAATTTTTGTTCACGGTTTCTAAATGACACCGCGCACAAATATCTTCACGAGGCACTTAGACATCGAGATTTGTGGGACTTAACATGAAAAATCTTAGATTTTCAGATGGGTCTCACTGTTGTTTGTCCTAAAAGCTACCTGTGTACCAGATGACAGCTTTCTACCGTGTCGGGAAGCACCCTAGAGGGGGTTGAGCCGTACACATTAAGGTCTTTGTTTATACAGAAGATATGTTGTCAGCCGATGAATCATGAGTTGTGTTTATTATTATTCTTCTCATCATTATTATTATTATTATAACATTGATCATCAATCCTCAATCATCGATCATCGAACATCGATCATTGATCTCCCCGGTCTCCAGAGCAGCAGCCACAACAACGACAACGCCATTGGCGATCCTCGATGATCGATCATCGAACATTGATCATCGATCATTGAGCCTCAATGATCGATCATCAATTTTTGAACATCGATCATCGATCTCCCTGGTCTCCAGAACAGCAGCAACAACGACAACGCCATTGGCGATCCTCGATGATCGAGATACATAGAAACTCATAGATATACAGAGAGACTCATAGATGTACATAGAGACTCATAGATATACAGAGAGACTCATAGAGATACATAGAAACTTATAGATATACAGAGAGACTCATAGAGATACATAGAGACCCAAAGATATATAGAGACCCATATATATACATAGAGACTTATAGATATACATAGACACTCATAGAGATGCATAGACACTCATAGAGATACATAGAGACCCATAGATATACATAGACACTCATATAGATGCATAGAGACCCATAGATATACATAGACACTCATATAGATGCATAGAGACCCATAGATATACATAGACACTCATATAGATGCATAGAGACCCATAGATATACATAGACACTCATAGAGATACATAGAGACCCATAGATATACATAGATACTCATAGAGATACATAGAGACCCATAGATATACATAGACACTCATAGAGATACATAGAGACTCATAGATATACATAAAAACTCATAGATATACAGAGAGACTCATAGAGATACATAGAGACCCATAGATATACATAGAAACCCATACATATACATAGAGACTTATAGATATACATAGACTCATAGAGATACATAGACACTCATTTAGATACATAGATGCCCATAGATATACATAGACACTCAGAGATACATAGAGACTTATAGATATGTAGTGGCTTCTACAGAAACTGGAGACGTAGTCTTTAGAGGCAACACGGTTTATTGTAATTCTTTAACAGGAAGCCCCCTTTACTCCTGTCGGGGTGTCAGGGCAAGGATTCCCACCAATAGGAAGGGGAGTGGGACGGTGACAGGGAAGGGGGAGGAGCAAGTGAGGAGATATAAGGGAGAGAACGGGCGGGAAGAGGTCGTTGGCGAGAACGAGATTGGGACGGCTGGGGACAGGTGTGGATGGGAGGAAAGGAATAAAAGACAAACTCCCTGCAACCGTGTGTCAGCTCTCCTTTGCACTCCCACTACCTGGGGAGGTATGGCCTCCGGGCTGACGTGCCCTATCACTGGGGCTACGGACTCTGAGTCCTCCGGCTAAGGGTGGCCTAGGGGAGGCTACGCTGACCCGACCCAGCCAAGGTGCGGGTCCCGACCACTGGTCCGCGCTCGGCCCGGCCCTTACAAGGCCGCCGGGCCCCGGGGGACAGGGTCCTAGCCCAGCCGGTCTTCAGTCTTCGTCTTCAGAGCACTGCCCCGAGCCGTCCTGAGGTCCGTCTTTTACACCCCACCGCCCGGGGACTCTCCGCCCCCGGTACCGCCCCCTTTCTGGAACCTTCCAGGGGGCTCTGGAATAACCCCCCAACCCCTCACCTGGGGCCGGGGTTGGGGAACTCGGTCTCCCAACCCCCTATAGACGCGTGCCCGCAACTACAGGTCAGTATACACAGGGGCGGCGTGTGCTGTGTATTTCCGACACTACAGATATACAGGGGAGACTCATACAGATTGGTAGAGACTCATAGATATACATATGGTCTATTAAAGATAGGTAGAGTCTAATAGAGACACATAGAGACTCATAGATATATATAGAGACTCATAGATATACATCGACGCTCATAGAGATACATAGAGACTCATCGATATATAGAGACTATTAGAGATACATAGAGACTCTTTCAGATACATAGCGACTCATAGATGTACAGAGAGACTCATAGACATACACACCCGCGTCCCCAACCCACCCGTCCCCCCTCGCCCCTCCCCTGCCCCCCTCACCCCCCTCACCCCCCGCCCCTCCCACCCCACCCCCGGGCAGCCTCCTCCAGCCGTGCCCGGGGCGCTGCGCTGCCGCTGGGCAGCCGCTAGGGGCCGCTGCGCCACCAACAGCGCCGCTGAGCGCACAGCGAGAAGGCGACATCGCCACCGATAATAAAATCACCCAGCAGGCGGCAAAGCCTCCTTGCGGAGCCCAGGACACAGCGCGCTGCAGTGGTCCTCCTCATTCTTCTGCGAGATGCCCTTTCTGGTGGGGGGTGCGACACATGGGCAGATTTTTGTCATCGACAACACAAATGAATCACGGGGCGACGTGAGTTACAACTTTGTTTCACCAAACCCTCGGTGTGTTTATTAACGTTGTACTTTTCTAATGATTGAAAACCAAAGGGGGTGCAAGGCTGCAGTAAAGGAGGTGAAGAGCCACTTTCTCTCATCCACATATCCCATCAAGATCGTTACGAACCGCAGATCGTGCATTGTTCACTGTCACCACGGTCTCGAGGCTTCCCACTTGGGGGGGGTGGGGGGTGGCGACGGCGATTTTGCAATCGCGGCCACCTCAACTCTGTAACTCCTTGGCCCTGTCGAGGTCTGGGGACTTCCGGAACTCTTGAACATCTCCAAACGTCGACTGAAAACGTCTCCGCTAAAGCACAAATGGCGCTGTTCTCTCTCTCGTGAGTTACTTTAAATCGTCCACCTTGCGTCATCTTTGCTTGGTCGACGATTAACTATTCTTTGGTACTTTCGGTAAAGTCACGTAGATAGAAAAAAAAATATTTTCTAAAAAACAAAAACGCACGACTTCCGATCGCAACACAAGCGGTCGCCTGATGACGATGGCGGGGGGGGGGGGATATCCATTTGGAGGACGTCACCTTTCTATCTATGTTACTTTACCGAAAGAACCAAAGAATATGAATTCCTGTTTGACTATTGTCCTCCTTTCCACGCGTAGCGCCCCTGAAACGGTCGTTTAAGGGAACGCTTCATCAATTGAAATCATCATCATCATTGTTGTTGTTGTTATTAAATCAGTGGTTCTCAATAGGGGGTACGCGGATCCCTGGGCGGGGGGGGGGGGCACGTGGCATTGTCCCAAGGGGGCGGGTCATGTGAGGCGATTCATCAACGCGTGAGTATATCTTGCATGAGAGTCATTGGTGAACAATTCACGCATGCATCTGCTGAAATAAAATAACTACGATAACATTTAAACCCACATGGCAACCTGGAACGATATAAAACACCGTTCAAATCACATCACGCGTGCAGAGCATCTGTTGAAATGTGTTACTTAGCCAGTTGGGACACCTCGCAAAATGGACAAATTGGTAAAAATGTCGACGTTCATTATTCATACATTTATTTTGTTATAGCCATATTGGGTCAGGCAATGGGGGGGGGGGGGGGGGGTGATACTAGGGTGAAACAAAATTCAACAAGACGGGGGGTGCGGTAGCCAACGAAGGCTGAGAACCGCTGCTCTAAACAATATAAGTGTGTAGTGACATAGTGCCGGCTGCTGACCAGCAGCGGCGACTGCGGTGGACAAACAGCGCACACGCCGGTGAGCACACACACGGCTGTGTGTCGGCAGGGCGGAGGAACTGGGGCAAGGGTCATGGACGACCCTATCTGGAAGCCCCTGGAACCCGCTAGTGGGTTCGAGAAGGGTGGAGCGATCTAACAAACAAAAAACCTCTCTTATGGATGTTATTGGTCGCGAAAGCCTACGTGTTGAACTGTGAAGGTGTGAACAAAGAAGGTGCCTCCTGGAAACCCTTGTCTCCGAATCACTGACACTGCATACATATAAAACATAAGATGCTGTTTCACGCATCCCATCAGCCAAAGTGCGTCATTGTCGGCAGCATTGGTTTGACACGGAGGTCGGCAAGCAGCAGTAGCAGCAGCAGAGCCATTGGATTGGTGTTGGAGAGTCGCATCAGACGCAAAGCCACGTGTACGCAACACGCAGCAGCGGGTATACAGCAGACGACATCAGACGACAACAGCAGCAACAACAACAACAACACATTATGACTTAAACAAACAAAATAGGTGATGGAATAAACCGCGTACATTTTTATTTTTAACCGCCCCCCCCCCCGGCCTTAGTTACTCTTTAACACTTTAGTTTGACTGTTGTACATTCTGTCGTCAACAAGACATTCCCCATTCCCATGTCACATTTGATCTATTATCTTTACGTTACGTTCAAGATTTAGTGCCTTTTTTATTTAAACGACTGCCCGCAATGGGGCAGTAAAGGAGCCCCCAAGGGGGCAGCTGAAGAGTCACATGGGGGCAGCTGAAGAGCCACAAGGGGGCAGCTGAATAGCCACATGGGGGCAGCTGAAGAGCCACATGGGGGCAGCTGAAGAGCCGCATGGGGGCAGCTGAAGAGCCACATGGGGGCAGCTGAAGAGCCACAAGGGGGCAGCTGAAGAGCCACAAGGGGGCAGCTGAATAGCCACATGGGGGCAGCTGAAGAGCCACAAGGGGGCAGCTGAAGAGCCACAAGGGGGCAGCTGAAGAGCCACATGGGGGCAGCTGAAGAGCCACAAGGGGGCAGCTGAATAGCCACATGGGGGCAGCTGAAGAGCCACATGGGGGCAGCTGAAGAGCCGCATGGGGGCAGCTGAAGAGCCACATGGGGGCAGCTGAATAGCCACTTGGGGGCAGCTGAAGAGCCACAAGGGGGCAGCTGAATAGCCACATGGGGGCAGCTGAATAGCCACTTGGGGGCAGCTGAAGAGCCACAAGGGGGCAGCTGAATAGCCACAAGGGGGCAGCTGAATAGCCACAAGGGGGCAGCTGAAGAGCCACAAGGGGGCAGCTGAAGAGCCACATGGGGGCAGCTGAAGAGTCACATGGGGGCAGCTGAAGAGCCACAAGGGGGCAGCTGAAGAGCCATATGGGGGCAGCTGAAGAGTCACATGGGGGCAGCTGAAGAGCCACAAGGGTGCAGCTGAAGAGCCACATGGGGGCAGCTGAAGAGCCAAAAGGGGGCAGCTGAAAAGCCACTTGGGGGCAGCTGAAGAGTCACATGGGGGCAGCTGAAGAGCCACATGGGGGCAGCTGAAGAGTCACATGGGGGCAGCTGAAGAGCCACATGGGGGCAGCTGAAGAGCCACAAGGGGGCAGCTGAAGAGCCACAAGGGGGCAGCTGAAGAGCCACAAGGGGGCAGCTGAAGAGCCACATGGGGGCAGCTGAAGAGTCACATGGGGGCAGCTGAAGAGCCACATGGGGGCAGCTGAAGAGCCACAAGGGGGCAGCTGAAGAGCCACAAGGGGGCAGCTGAAGAGCCACATGGGGCAGCTGAAGAGTCACAAGGGGGCAGCTGAAGAACCACAAGGGGGCAGCTGAAGAGCCACATGGGGGCAGCTGAAGAGTCACAAGGGGGCAGCTGAAGAGCCACATGGGGGCAGCTGAAGAGCCACATGGGGGCAGCTGAAGAGCCACATGGGGGCAGCTGAAGAGCCACATGGGGGCAGCTGAAGAGCCACAAGGGGGCAGCTGAAGAGCCACAAGGGGGCAGCTGAAGAGCCGCTGAAAGCGGCTTTGGAGCCGTAGGTTGCCCACCACTGGTTATAGCACCACGACATATCTGTCTGGAGCCGTTTTGACATTCAGTGTCTCACCATCAGCAGAGTCAGGCTGCTTGATTGAGCCAACGTTGGTGACCTGCCGGATGTTGAGAGGTAAACATGCAGCCTGTTGGCTTCAGCACCTGTGAAGATTGGTAACGGCCCACGAGGGGGTGCGTAGTCAACACCACGCCCGGTCGCCTTTGTCTCCCCAATGGCGATGTTTACACACCGCACAAGGTACTACTTTAAGGCTGAGTCGACCTAGGGGAGGCCCATGACCGATTCATATAATCGTCACGGGTGTTGGCCATAAGCGGAAATCGAACTCGGGTCACCAAGTTCGTAGCGCAGCGGGCTAACCACGACCACGCCCCACACTCACTCACCGACACAACCATCCACTCACACACTCACCCATCCATCCACTCACCCACGGACTAATCCACTAACTCACTCACTCACCCACTCACCCAAACACACAGCAATCACTCACCCACGCACCCATACACTCACTCCCACACCCATTCACTTGCTCACCCACTCACACACCCACTCACTCACACACCCACGCACCCATCCACCCACTCACTCACACACCCACGCACCCACTCACTCGCTCACACACCCAGACACACAGCACTCGCGTCATTGCACGCGTGCCAACATCTCTCCCAGCGGCCGTGTAAACCATTCGGTCACGGGTTGAGTTCCGCCACCTTGGGCAGTCGCCGTCTCCACTCCGACCCCACGGGCGAGGCCATCCCCGCGGTGATCCATCCCCGTGGATCTCACGGGGCGACTCTGCGATCCACCACCAGGGAGCCATCACCAGGCGGGTCGCCAACCGCATGCGGCTCTTTAAGGACAACGCATGGCGGCTCTTGACATATTTAGTTTTTTTAATTTAACGAATAAAAAAATATGAATGCCTCTTCTTGTCATTTTGGTCGCCCGGCCGCCGTGATGACTGCCAAACAGTGACGCGGGTGGATTTGACCCCCGTGATGTCCTCCAGACGCAGCACCGTACACACCGCCAGCACCGCCTTCGGCTACGATTTAGGATGTGTTTTTGATGGATTCATTCTTAGTCGGGGAATCAGCAAAGGACGAAAGGCTTCACGCAGACGCGTCGCGATGCGAAAAGGTTGTCATCTATTTGGTGTTTGAACATCTTACCTGTTTTAGTGCCAGACAGGGTAAAACCTATTCTTATTTTTCATACTTTAATCCTGGCAAAGAGGTCGCATAGATGTAGCTGCTGAGCCCGAGATATGCATGCCCTGATACGTGCATGGTCTTTGTACTGTTCGCCTTTTGGCGTTGTTCTCTGGACTGCCACTGGTGGTGTGAGACCAGGCCCTAAAAAAATTAACCCGTAAAAACAAAGTTTTTCACTCTAAATCCTTTATATGCGTGGCGGCTAGAGTCCTCTCGTCCTCTGGCTTGAGATGGCTGCCACCTATGGGTCAGATGATTGTCTGCCAGCATTAAGCAGTTGGTAATTAAATATTTAATTTGTTTTCCCTAAACAGTGTAAAATTTTGGGAAAAAAAGTTCACGAAAATTAATTGTCACGCACAACGAATCTGTGTGAAAAATGTCAGCTCGATTGGATCACGGGAAGTGGGTTTAAAAACGACCGAAAGATTTGCACGGTCGTAAGCAAGCAAGCAAGCACGCAAGCACGCGAACTTAATATAAAGGATTTAAAAAGGCTGCTGTCTCTGATGTAGGCCAATCAGTTTCAAAAACAATGCATATATTAATACAGCATGTATGTCTGCATGTCCACCACAAGTACGTGTGGTTAATGTAGACTTGATGCCTTGTAAAAGCCTTCTACTTGATGTTTGAACAGCTCCTGTTTCATTGCCAGAAAGAGTCAAACATGTACGTATTTGTCATATTAACAATGGGGCGTTACGCGTTTTATTCCCAACGAGAGCCGCCCGTCCTTCATCAGTGTGGGGTACCGCAGTGGCCAGGAGATGTTAACTACCTCGCCTGGTACGCAGGAGGTCGTGGGTTCGATCCAGACCCTGACGCCTGCTGCTGTATATTTGGACTTTGCAGTGTCTCTCTCCCCGTGATCGCGTGGCTTTTTTTCCGGGTCCTCCGGTTTTCCCCTCCACATTTAGAATCAACATCACGCGTTCAGAGCATTTTGCTGCTACTATGAGTTTCCACACGACGATAAGCCCACGTCGTTGAGCTATCATTTGTGATAGCCAGGTCGCTTCTGAGAAAGAGCTACGTAGCTCACTGAGACTTACCTGGTGAAATACAAAACACACAATTTCGAGTTTTAGTTTAGTTCACGTCACCTCGGCGCCGACTCAAGCCCCGATCATCATCCCTTCTGAGATTGCGGCGCTGCTGCTGCACCCCATCCTAATCTCTCACGCCCCGGATCCCGAGGAACGCTGCTGCTGCTGCCGTGCCAACGGCGAAGCCACGCGGACGTCCAGAATACTACCCACCTGCTCATCCGAGATCTAACCATCATCGCACCACATCGCTTTGACATTCTTCCTCCTCATCATCCTCCTTTCCCTCGAAGACTTCGGTTGGTTGGAACCGTCCACCGCATCAGAACAACATCAACAGGGTCGATGGGCAACACCTCCCTGGCACGTACGAAGTTGAAGACACGAGTCGAAGCAGTGAGACACGAGTCGAAGCAGTGAGGCCGTGGCCATGCAACCCACGTTGTGGACGGCGCAATAAACCCACCGTGGTCTGCGCCCCTTGCACGGAGCAGCAGGAGGAGGAGGAGGCGGGACTCTCACTCCGCTGAAGCCCTCTCGTCGTGGCCGGAAGCCAGAGCCGTCCCTAGGATACACAGCGACTGAGAGCGACCGCCCCGGGCCCCGTGGTTTGGGGGGACGGCACACGCTCCTTTCCAGCAGCAGCATACACCCGTGAGTCGTAGACTGCTCGACAATACAACTCAACTAAACTACGAAATAATTTGTGTTGTTTTACAAGGTAAGGCCCACTGAGCTGTATTAGCTCTTTTTTTCAGAAGCGACCTGGCCGTCACAAATGGCAGCTCAACGAAGTGGCTTATAGCAACGAGATACTCTAAATGCGCGTGTTTAGAAATGTGGAGGGAAAAACTGGAGGACCCAGAGGCAAAAAAACCGCGACCACGGGGAGAGAGAGAGACACCGCAAACTCAAAATATACAGCAGCAGGCGTCAGGGTCGGGATGGAACCCACGACCTCCTGTACACCAGGTGAGGGAGTTAACATCTCCTAGCCACCGTGATGATGATGAGAGAGAAACACTGCAAACTCCAAATATACAGCAGCAGGCGTCAGGGTCGGGATCGAACCCCCGACCTCCTGTACACCAGGCGAGGGAAATAACATCTCCTCGCCACATGCAAACTACAAATATACAGCAGCAGGCGTCAGGGTCGGGATGGAACCCACGACCTCCTGTACATCAGGCGAGGGAGTTCACATCAACTAGCCACATGCACGTGACCATACATAGCAGGCGTTACCAATTTTTTTTACAAAATCGTAAACAAACACAACATCCAGGTCCGATTCAGTACAGTACACAAAATCCGTAATCTAATCCCATCCGTAAAGGATGTCATTCCTGACATGCAATACCTTGGAGTCTACAAACTGAGTTGCATTTGTGGTGATTGTTACATTGGGGAAACGAAACGACACGTATCAGACCGTATTCGCGAGCACAAGGCAGATTTGAAACACGGCAGGTCTAACTCTTCCGCCGTGGCTGATCACTGCTACAACGCTGCGGGCTCTCATGATATTGTTTTCTCCGAGACCAAAGTGCTCTGCAAGCCGTCTGGCTACCATCAAAGGTTTGTTCATGAAGCCATCCAGATAGACAAACAGAGACGTAACTTCAACCGAGAAGAAGAATACAAACTGAGCAATCATTGGAAAGATGTTATTAACCAGGTGAAGACATTTAATTGTTCATAGTTGTCCCATCTTATTTATCGGATACCAGTCTATTTTACCGAGTTAATTGCATCGCCAGCGTTTAGCAGCGCTGCCATTTCGCTTTGGGTGCCCTCATTGGTTTTGGCTGCAGTTCGTAGCCGCTGCGTCGCTCTCTTTTATCATCTCTCGCTCACTCCGCCTCTCGCTCTTGGCCCCGCCGACTCCCCCCCACCCGCCCGCCCAGTTTCACGTTCCCAGTCCCGGGCGACCACGAGGCGCCCTCCCCCTCGCTCCTTATACCCCCCCTCTCCGTCCCCCCCCCAACCCCCTCCCCTCTCCGTCCCCCCCCAACCCCCCCCCCCTCTCCGTCCCCCCCCAACCCCCCCCCCTTTGACTTATATAGCCTCCTGGCATCTCCCCCACTTTAGTATAAATGTTCTTGCTGTGGTGTTCACACCTGATGATGATTGCGTGTGTTGCAATCGAAACGTCGTGATTTAATTTATGTATTTGTATTTATTATTTTCTTTACCCACGTGACTTTGCCGAAAGAACCAAGAGGATAGCGCAGACGATGTCGTGGTGACACCATCCGGAGGTGACGTGAGGTCATGGGGAGGAACTCTCATGTGGGGGGGCGGTGGGGGGGGGGGTAAGTTGAGGATGAGGAGGGGGGGGCTCGCTGTCACTCAGGGCCAGAATCAGAATCTGTATTGAGACTGCAGGAGGAATCCGATGAGCTATGAAGCTCTACTTCTTTGTTGTTGTGTCACAGATGTCCAGTAGAGGGCGGGAGTTTGCCGGAGAGCCCAATGCTGACGGGCGCAAACGCCCACGAGTCAAAGGTAATAAAAATAAATAAATAACGAGGACGTAACAAACCGCATGGAGGGCCCAAGTCACCGCGTGATTCACGTGGCCTCGCGTCCCTCGCTTCAAAGGCAAAAGCCACCACCACCCCCAAACCCCCCACACACCCCAACACCCCCACACCCCCACACCCCCCACACCCACACACCCCCACACACCCCCACACCCCCAAACCCCCCACACAACCCCAAACAACCCCCCAAACCCCCCACACACCCCCACACCCACACACCCCCCACACCCACACACCCCCCACACACCCCCACACCCCCAAACCGGTTACCAATTTTAACAAATCCTGTGGACACTCCGTGTCCGTGTGGCGTGCACGCGTACAAAGACAAAGCCCCCCCCCGCGTAGCCAACACATGTCCTCAGGGCAAGTGCTGTTTGCGAGCACATCTGATCCGGTCGCCTTTGTCTCCTCGGCGGCGATGTTTTCCACGTCGCGACCGGTTACTCGTTTAAGGCTGAGTCCACCTAGGGGAGACCCAGCCACCGGTTCAGATTCATCGTCACCAGCGGGTGTTTGGTGGCGGTGGCCGCGAGCGGGAATCGAACTCGGGTCGCAGGATTCCCGCACGCAGACACGCGGCACACGGCACGTGACGGAACATGACACATACATCACACATACATGACACAATACACGACACACACACATGGCACACCACACATGACAGGCACGGAGAGGACATGACACATACATGACACAGTACACCAGGCACACACGCCAGCACGACACGTGCGTGTGTGTGTGTGCCACGCACATTCTCCGCGCTTCACTCCACACGAGGTGGGGAGGAGGGGGGAGGGGGGAAGGGGGAGAGGGGGTACTCCCCCCGCCCCCCCGCCCCTCGCTTGTGCGTGAAAATGAATTAGCCGCGCCGTCAATAGGCGATCACTTATGCAAATGAGGCTCCCTGGGGGGGGAGGGGGGCGGTAGGGGGCGGGGCAGC